AAGAGTTTATACCTATTAACCATGCAGGAATAGAACTCCCTACTGGAGTCTAGACTCTGAAGATATGAATTTTCGTGCAAGTCCATATTACTTTGGCATACAAACAGACAATAACTGCTAAAGCAGATTTATTGTACAGAGGGTTCCTATAAACTTCAATCGTAAACCCGTGTTTATTTTGTAGAACGTTTAAAATCATTGTTTACGATGTTATTTTGTTCGTTTGAGACTTTCTCTTCTGAAGAAATACTCGTTTTTCATATTTTTTGCAGTCTGGATGTTTGATCAAATAATGTCCTGAATGAGTTTGGTCGCGGCGGCCAATCTCACTAAGACTAGCCATCTACGCAGGAGATATTATAGTGCACAAGTTACCGCATGCACTCTTTTTTCCTTTCACTCTCAAAGTCTGATGGAAAGAGAAGTAAAAGAGATGGGACACGACTGATGAATGATCAAGAGAAGAATTGACGGTTTTACGAGTTCTTTCAGGAACGGTGTAACAACCCAAACCCAATAACTATTTTAACTATTTTGGGCTTACTCTGGCCTCGAACCCAAGATCTGAACGAAATAACTAGATCTTTTGGCGATGATTTTTGACACAAAATCACCATTTATTCTGCGGATTACCAATTTTATTCTAGCTTCTGTTATGACTAAACTTACGGCTTTCCCCAATAACCTATCTATCTGTTGGCTTTCCTCCAGCGACAGGAATTTGACAAAGTTTGTATGGAACTTATATCAAGTTTCTATCTATTGCAAGGAAACTTCAGGATGGGTTATTGGGAACCGACGTCAGGGGGCTTAGGCTAGATGTAATTTTACTCGTTTACAAATAGAAATAGAAAAAAATTAAATATCAGTTCAAGATAATTTTTAAATGTTCGTTTGTAATGTGAAAGTAACAACTTAAACTTTTAAGCTGTTATATTATATATAAAGTACTTATTAGAAGTAGTGAAAGCCCTGTCAAAATCAGTCCAGCCGTTCCGGAGATTAGCCGGAACAAATAGACAGAGAGACAAATATTTAAAAAAAAAATATGTTTTTCTTATAAGTACCGTATATAATTTCATATGAATTTAATAAAATATCTGTTATTTTTACATTACAAACAGACACTTCAATTTTATTTATCTGTATAGATGTATACAGTGGAAATATATTTATATAGTGGAATAATTGACACTATACCAAAGCACAAAGCGGATTGTTAGTCTTAAAAAGAAACAAAAGCGTTTCAAAGGTTTTGGAAAAGATGAATCATGGAGGAATTTTCAACTATTTAGACGTATTGCTTGATCAAAGACTGTTATGACATCAATTTATTGCGAATGTAGAAAGACTAAATGAAACATTTTCATATTTATAGATTAGCCCATGTTTACAGGTAATTGTGTTGAAGAGTGGCTAATACGTCTGCAGATTACTTTAGGCATCCTGAGTTTGATTCTCGGGTCTATCCAAAGCTATGGTGTTCGGTCAAAAAAAATGTTCTATAAAACATTTTAAATGAAATTATCTTTTTGGATTCTTCCGCGGATTCATTTTGATTTTTGGTTCCCGGTGTTTAAAATACTTTTCAAACTTAAATGGATCGAAATTCTAGAAAAAATATTAAAATTCCTGTGATTAAGCGTGAAAGTGTAACAGACAGAGTTATTTTAACATTTATAAGATTGGTATGGATTTAAGCGTATTTGCAAGAATATTGAGGTCATATGGTTCTGCGCAGTGCCAAAGACCAAACAACCATAAAAAAATGTTTGTCTTTTGACATCTACTTATCTCCGGAACGATTTAACCAATTCTTAGAGAATTCAAGAAGAATATGACGTGTTCATTGGGAAAAAGTTAACAAAACAATAACTTATTCGATTTCTGAATGACTTTTAGTAGAAGATTCAATGGAAAGGGACTGCTATATTTCATCCCGGGAAAAGTTGAGGTTTCTCGGAAATACGGTATACAGTAATAGACATTTTATGGTTTTTTAGCATAGAAATCCAAAGCAAGACGAGGACATAGTGCTATTAATGATTTACTTTAAACAAGTTAATCGTTACTATCACTATGATGATCGAGTACTGCGATCCGATGACATTTAATAATATAAATAAGATTATTATAAAAATGAAGCTCACGAATCATACATATTGACGTTAGTTTTCTCAGTTAGTCATTTCCGATGGCGAAAAGTTTGTACGCTCTTCTAAGTTGAGTGAGATATTATGAGAAAAAGACTACTGGAGGATAATGTTAATAAAAAAACTGTTTAAAAAAAACTAGATTGCGTATGAACGAACTAAAAGGATGGAAGCAAGTACGAGTATAGCCCATATGAATAATTAATCAAGTCGGTTAAGGCGCTTAGTAGTTACGAGGGAACATATGATCGAACATACATATGTACTTAAGTACATATTCCTTTGGATTTGGTCACAGTCAGCTTCTAGAAATCTTCTGGTGAGTGACGCCACAACGAATCTTCAAGAGAAAATACAATCTGGCTTGCCTTGATTAGCCTTCCAGAGAGGATCCCAATTGCAACAAAAAATAAAACTCAATGTCCTATGTATATGCCATTTTATGCCCACGCAGATCTCATCCAATAACCCAGTTTTGTGACCTATCCAGATTCCATAGTTCTACTTCTACGAGTATTTAGCTTTCTAAATTTTCTATACATAGTTCCCACACAATAACTTTCATAATTTCTGTATGGGTCACTCAAGAGATGGATTCCGGCTGATCTGTCATATTGTATAAAACAAACTTCAATCTCTAAAATAGCCTGGACATGATTATGCTACGTTCACACGCATTACCAGGGTGAAATCGACAATTCCCTTTATTTAGGTCCCTGTTAACTGGTAGTGCAGGTTCAAATCTCAGGTCTCGCATACTTGAAATTTTCATATGCGAATCATTTCTAACGTGATTACAGTTGTCAGTTGTCTTACGACGAAGGAAAAAGGATGAGAAAACTTGGAAACTTGCATGTCTAAGAGAAAATAGCAAGTTTTCGAAGACGTGTGAAGTCCGTCTACCCGCACTTGACCAGCGTGCTCAACAGTGTGACGTTAAAAGGTTATGGTTAATTATAAATAAATAGTTAATATAAGTAAATACACAATCCAGTAAAGTCTGACGCAAAAGCTAGTCTTAACATTAGTAGAGACTTGAATATTAATTCTAATGCGAAAAAGCGTTAATTAATTTATCCTTCCTTCACACTGTAACGAGTCACCTTAGCTTTTTTCTGTGAAATGTAAGCCCATTGCAAAAGTCAGACAATAAATCCCTCAAAACAACGCAAGTTTAAAAGTGTTATTTTGGTGGATAAGGAACGACTTGTGAGGTAAAAAACTGAAGTTGAATGTGTGAGAAACAAAAATCGGTTTAAAATTGGCCAAGACATCGCTTGTTTGTTACAAACATCTATACATATAATAAAATTCTAACTAAGCCGAATCTGTACATTCAATTTTTTTTTGGAAACACTTATTGAAACAAACATTATTTTCGATACAGAAGCCAAATCTATAGTTTTTAGAATTTTTGTCTGTCTGTCTGTTACCGCATCACAGAAAAACCACTGGAGGGATTTTAATTAAATTTGGTATGGTGATAGCTGGGTATCCGGGTCAACATATAGGATACTTTTTACCGCAGGAATATATCTCATTTCTGAGAAAAAACACAAAAACTGCTTTGTAAGAATACACTAATATGTAAAACTTAAGAATTTGGTTTTTGGCCATCTGAACGCGGGCGGAGCCGTGGGCAATGCTAGTCTTCTATATACCTATATATATAAAAACAGAACAGTACCTACCTCTTTCTCCTCTGTTTGTCAACTGATTTTCTTTTTTTTTTGTTTAGTAGCTATTGATGAGCTTTATCGATATTTATTTATTTGATAGTGTTATCAATAATAAAAATTTGGAAACAGATTTTTTTAACGTGCGTAGGTAATTAATAAAATCCATATGTTTCCCTTAAATTTTCAAAAATGATTATGGTCTAGTTTCGACCATTGGGAACATTAATATTGTATAATGAGTTTTTATATTAACGCTTGTTATTATGTAAAATGACGAATTGAAGAATACTTCTGAACCTAATTCACTTAGCCGCAATATGTAACCATGATTTAAAAATAAAGGGTTATAGAATCAGCTTTTTTACAAAAGAGCTATATTATGTCAAACACGCGGTGTTACTTTCAACGTTGCATTATATTAAAAGGCCTGAGAATATGGTATCTAGCTCATTTTATAAAGAAGCAAAGGTTCACATTGAATCGAACGCCATCTTGAGATCGATCAAAAATGTCACTCGCTCTAGTCATCTATGCACTGGAAGGGTCATCTTAATACAAGAGTGTTATCTGTTAAGTGCCTTAACATTTCCAGTCCTGAATCGACAATTTACATAATATGGCTCAAGTTTGGCGCGACTCCAACATTTCATTCTGCAGTCCATTTGATAACTGACTTGTGACACGAAATTTTATAAATGACTGAGTGATGTGCAATAAATATTATATTTGAGACGCTTTTTTATATATTTCTTAGAGAACAGTTCCAAAAATATGGATTAATAAGTAATTTAAAAATAATTAATACGTAGGTAATGATTATTTAATAACATTAAATAAGAATTATTACACAATAACTAAAAATATGTAGCAAAATTGGAACAATATGCTTATAATCAATTTTATGATTATAATCAAAATATTAGTATTAACACTGAAAATTTTGTAGGTAATTTTTTTCATAAATCTCGATTGCAAATTTCATGTCTTTTTTTGTATTTTTTATATTTTCACGTGATATAATTTTAAACTCAAGTAGTAAGTAATTAGCTGTAAATCGTTACTTATTGAATTGTTTACAAACGAATTTAAAGAAAACACTGATTATTGAAAAAAAAATGCACGAATGTAGTTTAAATTATAATATAGTATAAAAAATACTTTTTATTACCTGGAACGGGAAATATCCAGCGCATTTTCGTCTTTTCCGATCTCCACAGATGTCAACCGTCCCGAGGCTTCAGCTCGACTGCTGGTCCATCGCTCCAATTTATTAACACATCCCTTTATTATCTATCGCTGGCTGTGAATTGATACTATTTTGTGTTATGACATTTTTTTTAAATATAAAAATATTATTTGATGAAAGGTTACGTATTGAAGCCTGGATAAAGCACGAAGATATTACATAACAGCTAAGTCTATAGGTGTCTATCTAATTATCGGCTACAATATCGTGGTACAAGAAAATAAGAGCAATATTTTCTTTGTTTACATTTTCTTTATTTTACGTTATAATTACTATTTTACTGGGACCTATTTATTTTTATTTTACTTTTTATTAAACATTTTTTTTAACTAATAGGTACCTAAATTAAATGGTTTAAAAAAGAAAGTATAAAGCATATCGATGCAATACCCATGTCTACACATATTTTATCAAAAATTATGAAACTACTTTATTCACTTGACAGCTGAAATGGCGGGAAGCGTCTTAATTTTACCACTACACATTTTGAAACCACCAATAATTTTATTCTCATGTCGTTGTGTTTTAATTTTTATTCAAGAATAGATTTTCAATATTTTAATAAAAATATTACAGATGACCTTGTGTCAAGTTATATTTTTTACCACATATCCTTTTCACGGTATTTTGTTTCACTTTTGTTTCAGTTAAGTACTAATAAGAGAAGTTTAAACACTTTTATAGGTTAGAAATTGTAGGAAAATGTTGAAAATCATATTGCCGTAAGTATAGGTATAGCGTAAACGACGTAGCGAACCTGTGCGCAGGCACTATTGATTTTAAGAAAAGACCGTACCAGTCAAGCGAGCATTGTTTACTACAATATATTTATGAATATAACACTCAACTCTTTTATTAAAATTCACTGCCTATTACTAATTTAAATAGAAAATAATAGTATTAATACACGATTCAAAATTTTATTACTCTCGTTTTTATCTATTATTTTTATATAAATAATCGATATGAGACTTTGTTTTTTTAAATGTGTAATTTTTTTTTAATTTTTAATATAGATAAAGGTATAAAACCTTACCGAATACCTACTATCATACTACAGCGCGTCGATAAATCACTATCTACATATTCTACGTACGCACCGACTGTTATAATACCATTAACATATTAATTTGATTAAAAAATTAATAGTTTATTATTGTTTCATAATAATTTTTCGTTATTATTTCGTTCGATGCCCATTTTTTTAGGACAAACCTACTCACTGCCGCGGTAGTAACACACTGAAACGGTGTTGCTATACTTAGCTTCTAAATTTACCCACAATCTTGCGTAAATACGTTTATTTTTAATAGGTGTCGTTTATAAATAATTTCATTTGATGATAAAGATTAGTTTCGTGAAACTTTAAGAAATATTGTTATAATGTTACGTTGAAATTTGTGAATGTCAATGGTAAAATTATTTAAAAAATATTTCAATTCTTTTAGTATTCAGCCCCATGTTATTTGATATTAAATAGCTTTACATTAAACCTTATTTAATTAAAGTTTCAAACTGAGAACACAATGAATTAAATATACAACAAACTAGACTAGGATATACCTAGTGAGGTTTGATTTATTTTCGATTACTTTCGAGGTTGCAATATCCGCTTAGAAGCTACATATTATCAATAATATTACTAATACTGCGATACGAAAAATATTTATTTTACTGCTATTTATGAAAATCTTCAGCTAATCTGCTAACATGTAATATTTTAAAGTCATAGTTATTCAAACACAACGGGACATAATTTTAATTTAAAACTGTAAATAAAAATATGACATTAATTTTAAACTTTATTCGCAATTTTAATATCTTCGCATCCCATCTAAGAATGTAAGCAGCATTTTTTTATTAAATAGAAGCAACAACAACAGAGCATTTATATCAAAAAAGCTTTTATACTTTATATTTATTTTGATACTGTGTTATTATAACTATTATAACACTTGTTATTTATATATTATCTACAATTTAACGATCTCCCAAGAACCAAAAATCTTTTTTAACCTGACAACATTAAAACGCCGACAGAATGCGCCATGCCGCTATGCGGAATACTGGGCTAAATTTATTATGGAACTAGCGACTCAACCTTGCTTCGCACGGCTTCGTCCCTAGGTAACTTTGAATTTTAACGGTTAGTATGGAATATACTATTTATATATCCATACTAAAAATAAATGCGAAAGTAACTCTGTCTCTCTGTCTGTCCGTCATCTATTCACGCTTAACTGTTGAACCGATTTAGATGAAATTTGGTATGGAAATAGTTTGGGACCCTGGGAATGACATAAGATAGTTTTCATCCCGGAAAACATATCATATATAAAGGGGTGAAAAGAGTGGAGGAAGATTGGACGGGGAATCAATCATTTTTCAAGTAGGTAAAGAATATACCTACATATATATATTTTTATAATACTTAGGTACCTACTTTTCTATACCTGTTTTATTTTCCTGGGCAAATTCTAAGCTAAGATTAAGGTCAAGAGTTAGCTCATTTCTAATTAAAAAAAAACCTATGGATGTACATTGTACATACATAGGTTCACATTGTACATAAATAGTCTATTTAATCTATACTAACCGTTAAAACGTACCTAGGGACGAACCCGAGCGAGGCGAGGGTGAGTTGCTTTTTGTCTTATAAAAAGGTTTATAAGCTGTGTTTATTTTATTGGCTCCTTAACCAAAATCCAGAATTGGAACCCTAAATGAGGTTTCCATGGTTTCATATTGCATGATGATGTCACAAAACTCGTACAGTAACGAAAGACGCTTGATTTTATAGATAAAATGTTATTCTACAACCGTTGGAGAATAGAAATTTTTAGTTTAATTGTATTAAAATGACAAATTAAATCGTTATGTCATAGAATCATATTATGCCATTTCATAATATGTATTTTTACATAACATTTAGTATAATGCTTTAATTTAATGCTTTATTACTAAAAATTACCTTCAAACCATTTATTTTTTATGTAAAGTAAAAATTAATATCCTATGTACGTATTATCATTCGTTTTAGGATAATTCGAAGTTTTGATCTATGATATTTATTGTTAGATCCAATAATAGGAACATTAAACAAAGCAAATATCACTAAAGACAAAATAAATTACACATTTTGTATTACATGAGATCTATTTTATTTGACTAAGATTAATAAATAATAATAAATAAATAAATAAAAATCTTTATTTGGAACAAATTTACAAAATCAGAACATTGTACGATATGGACTACATTAGTTAAAAACTGTGTTGTAGTCAATAACGCCCACCTCCAAGACATTTAATTAATATTAATACTAGTTCCAATAGCTTACATAGAAGTAGTTATAAAAGGTAGTATAGTTATATTTGCAGACATAGATTCTAGAATTAAATACAATAATATATATAGTATAATGCTGTGTGTGTGTGTGTGTGCGTGTGTGTGTGTACGTGTATGAGAGTTGTGACTGCCACCTAAGTAAGGAGATTTTCAGTATCTTCATAGGTAAGATCCTGTAACCAAGCGATAGTTGCACTTTTGCAAACATGTAGTGTCTTAGGAAATATATTGATAATTTTATTTATTCTATTATATATATTTGAAGAAAAATAATAATAGTGTCGTCGACACAAAGCCAATCGACTACGATGGGTTTCACAAACTATATCAGATCTACGTTTATTGTGAATTGTATAGTCCTTGTATGGTGTTTGTGAATGTTTGCGTAGTATAGTATGTAGAATAAATAGTTTCCTAACCGATAATACCCGTGTGACTTTATATAACTCATCGGTAGGAAACAGCATTGATTTAAATGTCATGGTTTTAAGAATTGTTCTTTGAGCCCTTTCAAGACGAAGTAATTTAGTTTTTCCAGTCCCTCCCCAAGCTGTAATACCATAAGATAATATTGATTGTGCAAGAGCATAATATACATTTTTTAACAACGGGAAATCAATTATATATATATAGATAGCACTCCCCGCGGCTCCGCCCGCGTCTAGGTGATCAAAAACCAAATACTTGGTTTTACATATTAGTATACTCTTACATTGCAGTTTTTGTATTTTTTCTAAGAAAAGAGATATTTTCTAGCGGTAAAAAGTATATAGTAAGTATATATAGACAGACAGACAGACAGACAGACAGACAAAAATTCTAAAAACTATAGATTCGGTCTCTGTATCGATAATAATGTCTATTTCAATCAGATTTTCCAAAAAATATTTAATGTACAGATTCGACTTTGTTACAATTTTATTATTATTTAGATTTCTCAAAGATGTATAAAGCCCCAGTAAAAAGTACCCTATATGTTGACCCTGAAAACCAGATATCAATATCATAGTACCAAATTTCATCAAACTCAAAAAACTATAGACTCGGCCTATGTATTGGTAATAAGGACTATTTCAATAAGATTTTCCAAAAAGTATTAAATGTACGGTTTCGACTCAGAATTTTATGATATGTACATAATAGAAGATGGCTGATGCTATTCTTGCTAATTGCTATACTTAAAATAAGGACGTATAATAAATAAAGGAGGATGTTGCTTGTTCGTCGGATAATTGGATGAATTAAAAATATATTATTCTATAAAAAAAAAATATTATATATTATTTGCTTTCTGATGTAAAATAAGTTATTTTTCGGTGCAGGAGTTTCTATATGCAAAAAAAATTAACCTTAACCTACCGAGCCGGAAACTTTTTTTTTAAATCCAACCATTTTTATATTCAAGCGTTTTTAAGGTTAAAAAAATATTTTTAGGTGCCGGAGTTTCTATTAACAAAAAGAATAAATAAAATAACCTTTGCCTATCGACCTGAGCCTTCACTAGTGTGGCTATTCGACATCCGTCCTATTAAAGGACGAATGTCGAATAGCCACTCAATTTAAGTTTCCTAATTCTTCAACGATTGTAGAATAACATCA